GGCCCGAATCGTCCCTCCCCCGCGGTGCGGCGCTGCGCGCCGAGAGCTAAAGGCACGGCAGGACGGGGAAGGCGGTAAGTGAGGGCGCCAGCGACGTCGGGCGGCCTTGAATTGCGTGCTGTCGCCTCTGTGAAACCACGTCGGTGAGTCGCAGCCTTGGAAAACCCAGGCGAAAACCCACGGGCCAGGAACCAGCTCGGTTTCGCACCTCTTCTTTCTGTAGCTCCCTTCCAAAGACCATCCCAGGTCAGCCAAAAATAAGTTTTTTTTTTAAAAGCGGCGCTCGCACTACAAAAATAAAATGTTAAATAGAAAACAACGTCACCAGTGAGGCTGCTGAAGGAAAAAAAACATCTCAGTTTCAAGCAGTTTCTGTGCTACTTAGCTTATGTTTGTATTGTAGCTCTTTGATAGGTGAACTAGAGCGTTTCACGCCCTGTGCGAGATTCCGGCTTGGATTGCAAGGCCGCGTTCCGCTTTCAAGGCTACGCGCAGCACAGGGAACCCCACATAAACGCTTACGCTGTTCTGCGAGTACGGGGTACCCGCTGGAGCCCGACGCCGATCAGTCACACCTTTAACAGCTCCGTCACGAGAAAACCGCGTGCTTTGTGCTTCGCTGAGTACGTCCTGTTTTAACCTGACAGCGGGCGGGGGGAGCTCAAGTGGCATACAAGCCCCGAACTTTTATCAAAGCCCAGTGCTGATCGTCACTAATTCCTGCTTATTTCCCCCCTGGGAAAAAGTTATTAATATGCATTGACAGTGTGTGTTGTATGTCTGATGTAAAAGCAATCCAGCTTCAACGTAAAGCTGAAAAACCCTCGGATTATTGATCAGGGAGACACATTCCCCTTCCAAGATAAGCATGGGTACAGCCATTTCAGCTCCTTGCAGTCTACTGGGTGCCTGATGCTTGCGGAACCCCAGGTGGGAGGTGAAGCTGCACCACCATCCCTTTGCTGTCAGACACGGGAAACTCAAGAGCAGCGGGATCCGCTGCATCGGTGCGGCAGCCCCGCGGCACCGGTCCAGCCCAAGTGCTGCGTGCTGCAGAAGTCTACTCCTAGCGTGGTTTATCGTAGAAACACCCTCTAACTTTTGCCTCAATGTTTGCTGAACACGGCTATTAAATATTGAGGAATTAAATCATAGAATCATTAAGGTTGGAAAAGACCTCTAAGATCATCGAGTCCAACCATCGACCCAACACCCCCATGCCCACTAAACCATGTCCCTCAGCGCCTCATCTACACGTCTTTTCAATACCTCCGGGGATGGTGACTCCACCACTTCCCTGGGCAGCCTGTTCCAATCTTTAACCACTCTTTCAGTAAAGACATTTTTCCTCACATCCAATCTAAACCTCCCCTGGCGCAACTTGAGGCCGTTTCCTCTCATCCTGTCGCTTGTTACTTGGGAGAAGAGACCAACCCCCCCCTCGCTACAACCTCCTTTCAGGTGGTTGTAGAGAGCGATGAGGTCCCCCCTCAGCCTCCTTTTCTCCAGGCTAAACAACCCCAGTTCCCTCAGCCGCTCCTCATCAGACTTGTTCTCCAGACCCCTCACCAGCCTTGTTGCCCTTCTCTGGACACGCTCCAGCACCTCAACGTCCTTCTTGGAGTGAAGGGCCCAAAACTGAACACAGTATTCGAGATGCGGCCTCACCAGTGCCGAGTACAGGGGCACAATCACTTCCCTACTCCTGCTGGCCACACCATTTCTGATACAGGCCAGGATGCCGTTGGCCTTCTTGGCCGCCTGGGCACACTGCCGGCTCACGTTCAGCCGGCTGTTGACCAGCACCCCCAGATATATAAATATTTCAATTGAGGTATTAAATATCTCAACTACACCATGTTCTTTACAGGAGATTGTTGAAAGCACACAGGCTCCTAAAAATATAATCTCCTCTAAACGACTGGACTGTCCTGTCCCATAGCGGAGAGCAACTCGGAAAAGGAGCCCTGGCAGCTCTGCTAACCGAACACTTTCTTCTCAGATGCAATCACCGCCACGCTTTCCTATTAGATGGAAATATGTCAAGAATGAGTTGGACAGTTCTGCAGACTGAAATGGACGACAACCGACATGCACAGAGCAGCCGGTAATGCAAACAGAATAAATTCTTTTAATTCATTTGGAATTGTGCAGCTGCATGATGTACAGCTCATCAAAAGCAAAGTCCTTTTAGTAATCTAAAGGGCCTGGGACACGTCTTCAGCGACACATCCCTTCATGCCAAGAAGGGAACCAAGCGTTAATAACTACTGACTCAGCAACTCCAACAACATAATTAAATGTGTCCACACAAATGCCCCAGTAGCAATGGAACAGCAGAAGTGTGTTCAGCAGCACCAAAACAATTGCTGTAAGAAGTAGCCTTTTAACAGCGTCTCTTTGCTTCCCTCAGTGGAGACTCAACATCTTGTTAAATTCAACCTATTTTGTGCTAGTCAAGTCACTTAGTGTTGCAGTCTCCCCAGTCAGAGACATCACTGCAGGCTTTTCTGATGTCACCTTTTTTGTTTTTAACTAAAACCACACATACTTGTTGTTTTGAAACAAGAATTCAAAACGCAGGTAGTAAAACATCTCTCTAGGGGTAGGACATGAAAAATGAGACTACCAAAGAACTAAGGAAAAAAAACAACCCACCCCTAAAAAATTCTGTGCAAGACAGGTACAGAGGGAGCAAAGAAAACCGACGTCTCTTTCTGCCAAGCAGAAAACCCACGCACAGAGTAAGGCTCAGATTCTCCGTATGTAAACGAACATCAATGTTTTATTGTTGTGTTTTACAATTCAACGGCGGGGGGGGACACCAACCAACCAACCAAAAAACCCACCAAAAAAACCAGACCAGGTACAAAAGCATCAGTCCAGTGTGCATCTAGGTCAAACCGTCTGCAGTCTGAAGTAACAGCAGATTTCCCCTACACACTGTTTTAATACAAAATCCGAGGGACATAGGTCTATGGTATTTTATCATATGGAAGATGGGAAAACAAACAAGAAAAGGTAGCTCCATTTCCACCTTTATCTGTCTGGACGGGTCATTCCCGGCCTGGTTGGCACCATCATGGGTCTGGAGGGTGGTCTCATCATTGGGGGCCCCGGCATCATCGGCATGTGTCCTCCCATCGGCGGCCTCATCCCTGGAGCTAGAAGGGGAAAGGGAGGACATGAGAGAAGAGCTCTCGGGAGTGGCAACCGCCGAGTCGCATCAATACAGCGCGCAGGTTCCCTCTCCTCCACCCTCCAGGGAACTTTCATTTTACAAGTCCGTGAGCTTTGATCTGGAAGCTGGCCGAGATGGATTGCATTTCCCCCCCGAAGGATATTAGCCATTAGCAGAGGAAGACCCAAGTTCCTGGGTTATATGCCCACTTTCGACAGCATTCACCGATAAATTATTTTTGACCACTCAAAAGAGACACTAGCTTAGTTGCCGAATTGGAAAGTTCACTTGGAAAAAAACGTGAAATTCTCCCGTTAAGCGTGTTTGGAATAAGACTGGCGTGCTGCTTACAGCTGGGTAACAGCGTTACCAAAGGAAAACAGGTGCTCTACTAAAAAGCACTGAAATAACGGTTTCCGTCCAACTTCTCCATTTATTTTCAGGCAGCGACTATGCTGCTTAATATCGCAGATGATGCACGTATCTTGTGCCTTTAAAAAACACTTAAAGAACAGTTTCTACCAAGCAAGACAATAATTGCAAAGACACTTCACTAATTCTAGTGCCCATGTGTGTATTCCTTTACATTTGTTCCAGTAATGGCTTCAGTAAGACGTCCCCTGAGAATTCTTCAAATGCCAGTAAGCTCAAGAGCGGAATGAATCAAGACATTTTAGTTTGCCTTTACAGTTCTGAAAAACACTTTTAATGTGTTCCAGAGAAACGACATGCCTTTATCTTGAGACATTTTAAACAATAAAATTCAGTTAGTGCTGAAACGTACTCCTTGTGCAAAAATAAAATTGCTGAACAATTAAAGATTGTACCGCTACGACTAGAGGTAGAAAAGCTACAATTTACCAGAGCGATAATTTCAGTTGTGCTAGTTAAGTACTCTCAACAAGCAGTAAAGGAACTTTAATTAGCAGTTGTAAGACTGCTGTATGCCTCACCACGCAGAGGCGGCGGATCAGCAAACGTGCGTACATAACATAGGCAAACCGAAACACCTCCACAGCGGGACGCTTGGGGCTGTCCATCCACGCTGCCTCCAAAACGATGTCTGAAGCGACGCAAGCTATAAACTAGAGCGCATCGCTACGTCTAGCACCCAAGTGCTGCAGCCGCTTCACGTTTTCCGCCGAGTTCCTTTCGCAACTCTCTACTGCCCAGTGAGGCAGGAAACATAACCCAAACACCCTGCACGCCAGGCCACGCGCTACCTCAGTTACAGACTGACTCAGTTACAGACTTACCAGGTCCAACCGGCATCATTCCTGGTGGGGGGGGCCCCATCATTGGCATCATTGGCGGTCCACCCATGTGAGGGGCCGGCATCATGCCAGGCCGCGGGGGGCCAGCTGAACACATACAGAGATTGGTTACGCATCTGGCTGCTTTCACATTCATCAACGCGAAGCAGTTATTAAGCTTTACAGGACATTTGAGTAATTAAGGTGTCTTAGATTTGCTTTACAGCTGCCTGCCTCCATTTTCAGTTTCAACTCTGACTTCAGGCGCCAAAAAGCGAACCGGAGGAAGAACATGCTAGCTGTTCATTTCCAACTTTGCATACCTAATGCAGACGGCTACCACTTCCAACAGCAGGACTCTAAGCAGGAAGGGATCTCAGCCGTTTGCCAGCTGAAGTGCAAAAGAAGGTTATCAATCCTATTCCATTTAAAAAAAAAAAACCAACCAACCCAAAACAAAACCCCATGCTGGAAGTTTTCATGAAGCTAGCTACGTTGCAGCTAGCAAGTAGTGAGGAGGCACACGTTCCTGTTAACGTACTCAACATTACTAAAACCAGACAAACTAAAGACTACAACTCTTACAAAGCGTTCTCTTACATTTCGGTATTCACGAGCTCAAAACGTCTTAGCTTGATTTCAAGCTAAGAGGACTTTTCTTTACAAGTCCAGGAAACATGCAACACAGCTAACGAGGGCTGCCACCCCAGTCAAAAACTGCCCAGTTCAGACTTACGGATGCTGGGAGGAGGTGGTATCATGGCTCCCGCGGGCGGTGGTGCCGAGAATGGTGTCGGTGGGATTTTCCCTTGCTGAAATGCAGCCGCTACATTGGGGGGGAAAAGAAAAAAAAAAAAAGGAAAGAAAGAATCCCAGGAGAAAAACCAGTTACTAGGCTGAGGAAGCTCCTGCGTCAATCCTCCTTCTCATGCCACGCGGTCAGAGCATACTTCATGTCATGCTGCGTGCTCAGTTGTTCTAACTCTGGAACAAATCCCTGGTTTATGCTGCTTGTCATGGCGGAAGGACCTGATATTCTTGAAGACAATTATTACAGTCATTACTCCAGCCGAGACTAGAGAGCTCCTTGGTGAGTTTCACACACCTAACAGGAAGGTGGACGGCAGAGAAAATGCATCACGTGATTTGCAGCTGCAGCTTTCACCTGGGATCACTGGGTAAAGACATGCTATCCTGAAAATGGTAATAAGGCAGCGACTGAGGTAGGCGACAAAAAGCACGAAAAACATCTTATGTGAAAGGGAAAAGAAGAAATTCAAAAGACTGGAATCAACTAGAAGGAAGGCAAAAGATGTGAAAGTCGGAAGCGTCACGAGGAAAATGGACAGAAGGAAACGGAATGAAGCTGCCTCAGGGGAAGTTCAGATTGGACGTCAGGAAAAGGCTGAGAGGGCGGTCGGAAGGCTGGAACAGGCTCGCGGGGAAGTAGATCACGGCACCGAGCCTGTCTGAGTTCAA